ATTTACAGAACAGGAAGAGTGTTTTATTTTTCCTTTTTTTTTAAAAAAATTACCAAAAAAAAAAAAAAATTTAATTAAAAAAATTTTTTTAGGTAAATCTTCAATTAAGCAAGGACTTCTGGCATTTGCTAATTGGAAAATAATAAAGAAATTTATTCCTGTATATAATTATGACATAAATGTATAAATAGAAATGGCTTAGGAAATAGTACAGATTTTTAAAAAAATCTTTCAAGTCCACGTTTTTCTGGACAATTACCAATACATGTTAAATGTAGCTATTTTGAATTTAAATTAAGATATTTGCTTTTTTAACCCAACTGTCAAGGGTGTAAATCAGGAAATAGCAATAACTGAATATTTCTCTTGAATGTACATGAACTGTTTTTCTGGTAATGTGGTATGTTCAGAGAGGCATTCACATGGAGTTTCTCAGGCTACTTTACTTCAAGTAAGGTACCAACTTGTGAATTCTCAAAGCAGTTAAGTGTAGTATTCAAATGCTTTTGTCTTTTACAAAGTTGGTAGCTTTTATATGTTACTTAGTATTTTAGGTGTTAAAAAATGCATTGTAATCAGTGGTTGCCAAGAGTTAGGGTTATAATTATAAAGGGAAGTGCAAGAGAGTTTCTTTGTGGTGATGGAACAATTTTGTATCTTGATAGTGATGTAGGTTACATGAATTTATACAGTCTTTAGTGTACATCCAAAAAAAGGTCTGTGTAAAAACTGGTAAAATCTGAATAAGGTCTGTTGTGTGGTTTAGTTAATAGTATTTTACTAAATGTCAATTTACTGTTTTTGATAATGTCCTATGGTTATGTGAGATGTTTTTCTTTTGGGGAAAGTGTACATGGGAACATTGTATTAGTTTTGCAACTTCTTGTGAAATCTAAAATTATTTTAAAGTTTAAAAAAACGCTATTTATACTTCTATCCAGTATACTAACCGATTAAAAAAATACTTTCATGTTTCTTAGAGCCAGATGTGCAACTTTAGTTTTTAACAGAGTTCTTGAGGACTAAATGCTATTTACTTTTATTCAGTCATTTAGTAACTGTTCATTAACTGTCTACAGTAGGAGGCATTACAGTGTCTTAAGAAAATGGGCTTTGGAATTGGCTCTGGTTCAAATCCAGGCTCTGCTACTTTTAGCTGTGTGAACTTGGGGAAGTTACTAAATCTCTCCGAGCTTCAGTTTCTCCATCTATAATGGGCATAATGATAATGATACACACTTATTGAGCATTATAATATGTGATGAGTTATTATTTGCACCTTATATAATTTAAATCATTTAATCCTTATAACAATCCTATGAGAAAGGTGCCATTTTAACATTTTCAAATGAGGAAACTTAGGCACAGAGAAGCTAAGTTACTTGCACAAGGTCACTCAATTGGGAAATGCTGGAACCTAGATTAAAACTCAGCTGGATTTTCTGTTTTTGCTATACAGAACTAGCTTGTTGATGACCAACTGTCCCACCAAGAACAACTAAAAAGAAAAATAAAATTTATTTAATTAAAAAATTTGTTTGAAGGTTTTTGAGACCTACCAGGGGAGCCAGGACATTATAGGCCACCATCCTGAAGTCACGGGAAGCCTAGAGAAGTTGCCTGGTGTTCAGTGTGACCCTTCCCCTTAGGGCATTTGCTGATTTGTAAGTTGTGGCTGAGAGACTGAGAAGATGAGCAGAAAGTGGTCCCAGAAAGTTGGGGAGCTGAGCAGACCTGTCAGTCTTATAGACCTTGTAGACAAAACTTTGGGTTCAGGCGCCAACAAGGAGGAGGAAACCTGGTAGATACTGGAGTCTTGGTTGGGGGAGGAGTGAACCAGAAATGGACAAGGCCTCCCAAAGATTGAAGCTCAGCTTCTAATCAGCTCAGTTTGTTATTGGTTTAGGGTAATCTGCCCCTACTCTTAACTGCCTGCCAGAAGCCGAAGTGAATGCTTTCTGGAGAAATATAAAATCATTCAAAGCCTCAAGTTATTTACTTAATTTTCCACAAACGAAGTCTGGCACTTAGTCAAACATCATTAGGCATATCAGGCAACCAGACCAAATTATTCAAAACGGAGAGGTATAGGTAGTGGAGTTATCAGATTTGCTTTTTAAATAAGATTAATATATTCAGAAATTTATTTAACAAGATGAAGAACTTCAGCAGAGAACTAGAAACTATAAAAAGGAATCAGATGTATATTTTCAAACTGAAAACTGAGATTAAGAATTCAGTAGATGACTTTATCAAGCAAAAGAGAGATTATAAAAAAGGATTAGACATTTTTTGAGAACCAAAGTGTAGAGAATTTCTCATTAGCAGACCTGCACTTAAGGAAATCCAAAGTGCGTTCTTTAGGCAGAAGAAAAATGATCCCAAATGGAAGCACAGAAAGGGTATAGAAAGGACAGAAAGGGTAAATTTGTGAATTTCCCTAAATGAATGTCTTATAGAGTTTAAACTATATGGAGAATTAAAGAATACTTAATGGTAGCACAAAGATGGGGCAAGAATAAATGATGTTAACGTTCTATGGTTCTTTTATTGTCTTGGTGATGTGTAAAGTACTAATTTAATTCCTACATTGAACATTGTAATCTCTAGGGCAACTACTATAAGAATAGTAACATAATGTATAAATAACAAGCTACCACAGAGGAAATGAAATAATGAAACATTTGACACTAACGCAGGCAAAAAAGGAGAGAAAAAGGAACAGAAGAGGACAGGTGGTTCAAATAGGAAACAGTACAACGGTAGATTTAAATCCAAATAGTTAATTAACTATGTTAGATGTAAATAGACGTATACTGATAAAAAATATAGTCAGATCTGGTTTTGTTCTAAAAGAGCCCTGGCGGTCCAGTGGTTAAGACTTCACCTTCCAATGCCGAGAGTGTGGGTTCACTCCCTGGTCAGGGAGCTAATATCCCACATGCCTGGCAGCCAAAAAACCAAAACATAAAACAGAAGCAATATTGTAACAAATTCAATAAAGACTTAAAAAAAAAAAGGTTCATATCAGAAAAAGAATCTTTAAAAGAGCCAGTTATTTACAGCTTGTAAGAGTTGTAGCTTGAAGTTTAGGATACAGAAAAGTTGAGGGAATTCCCTGGCGGTCCAATGGTTAGGGCTCTGCTCTTTCACTGCCGTGGCTTGGGTTGGATCCCTGGTTGGGGAACTAAGATCCCGCAAGCCGCGCAGCATGGCCAAAAACAAGCAAACAAAAAAGAAATGTTGAACGTAGAGTTGGAAAAAGGGTATACTGTGCAAACTTAACTAAACCAGCCCTGGTTCTTGTGGCATGCTGTACCTAGCTCATAATTTGGTTGCTAGATTTAAATCAGATAATCTTAGAGTTTTCAAAAGCAATGTCCTCTGGATGTGTTAGGTACCCAGTAAATTTAACTATTACGTCTGAGGCATCTTGTTTCTTTTTTTTAAATATTTTTTTCTTTTTCTTATTAAAGAAAATTTTCAACTGAAGTATAGTTGATTTATAATGTTGTTAGTTTCAAGTGTACAGCAAAATGAGTCAGTTATACATATATATATTCTTTTTCAGATCCTTTTCCATTATAAGTTATTATAAGATATTGAATATAGTTCTCTGTGCTGTACAGTAGGTCTTTGTTGTTTATTTTATATATAGTAGTGTGTATCTGTTAATCCCAAACTCCTAGTTTATCCACCCCCCTTCCCCTACCTTGTTTCTTAAAATAGTATTCTTTTTTCATTTTGAGTCGATAGACCAAGGACAATGTCTCTTGTACCATTGTACGCATCTGACTCATAGGTTGCTTGATTTTTCAGTAGCTTCCATATATACACATTTTATCCCTTTTCTTAAGTTTTGTTTTCATTTAACTCACCATCACAGCTGTTATCTCTTATCTTTGTTTAAAATCTATTCTGTGGTGCCTCTGCCTACTGATAATGTATGAATTATTTTATGCTGAAGTAATCTACTTAGTATTATCTATAGAGTTTCCAAACTAATGACATTCTTCCTTTTTTCCCCTGTACTTTTATGAAAATGTTCAAATTCTTCAGAATTATTCTTTTATAAATTATCATCCATATAATGAATATAGGTTTCCTCAGTCATGTCACCTGTCTTTTGGCATGAGGGCTTTTTGAAGAATAGGTAGTGGTGTAATTATTTATAAAATAATACCATAGAACTAATTAGAGAATCCTGTCTGGATCTTTGCTTTGTATGACAGTCTGTCATACATTGGTTAAACATCAATTGGAGACATCTTAAAAGGCTTTTGTTCTGTTCTGCTTTTGATGTTTCATTTAGCTTTTTGGGAAGTCACATTGCTCTTTGTTGGACTGAAGGAAAGGATTAAAAATGATTAAAATGATTATATTGAGTCAGATCTGAATTAGATCTGAATCCAAAATTAGTTTCCCTAGACAACCAAAATAGTGGTAATTTTGGATTGAATTTGGCCTTCTCCCCATAGGTTAGTGGGTACATTTGTATCTGTGGAATATTATAAGCCTTTCAGAATTGGCTAGACTTAATGAGGGCTTTTCTTTGGGGTTTCTTCCTCTTTTAGGACATGTGAAAATGAAATTTGCCGTAGTTAATTTGGTGGATAGCAGTAAAACCAAATATCTGTGTCCTTTCTTTCTGAATATGAGGCTTAATACTGAAAGTTTTAAAATAACCTTTTTCTTATAAATTTTAACTGATGTTAACAAAACTGTGTGGGTTTTTGCAATTTAAGTAATGGCTTCTTCATAGCAAGTCATCTGACCTGGACTGTCAAGGAAGTTAACTACTAGGGATGGTAGAACTCATTAATTTTGGTTTCACTCCTGTATTTATTACTATTCATTTCTCTTTGAACAGGTTGTTCCTTTCAACAGCTTTTGATGAAATTCAGGAACATACTTTTTTACTTGAGCAATTGTCATGAGTAAAAATGAAGTAGGAAAATAAAATCGCAGATTAATGAGAGCCATGTTGTATTGTTCACTAGGCAGTGAAATCAGCTGTGCAGACCATCACTGTTGGAGGAGTGAGCACATCACAATTTAAGACAATTATTCCTCTGGCAACTGCTCCCAATGTCCAGCAGATTCAAGTGCCTGGAAGCAAGTTTCATTATGTCCGACTTGTTACTGCCACAACAGCCAGTAGCTCAACCCAGCCAGTTAGTCAGAATCCCAGTACAAACACTCAGCCTCTTCAGCAAGGTTAGTAACCATTTTTTTAAAAACAATAATTAATGCTTTGAACATTATTATAGAAATTGGTCCTTTTCTTGCTGAAATCCTGATTAAGTATGGCATTTCAGCTGAGTACGAATCAGCAGCTGTTGCCGAAGGCAGTGAAATAGAATCCCAGTTGTATGTAACTATAGTATTTTGTTCTGCTAGAAACTGATACACAGTGTGCGGTAATACCAGATAATCATACTTAGTCATCAATTTGTGGGTAGCCATTTTATTGCTGGTTTAAAAGCCTACATTATGCCAGTGGGATAGTTTAAATGGAACCAAATGATTTATCTTATTTTCTAAGCTACAAAGCCGTCTAAACTACACAGGGTTTGGGGGTCAGTTGAAATGACCAGTAGGCAAGGTATAAATGATAAGTATGAACTTTCATCCTCTACTTATTTTGAATCTGTAATTGCTAATGAAAATCAGTTAAAATGTTTTTATTTTCCTCATTGGTATTTTTCCTGAAAAGTATTCCTGTTTGTAGTCCTACTTTGTGTTTAATACTTCCAGCCACCTGATATACATACACAGACTCAAACACATAACCTTTCTCCATATTTATCTACTTGTTAAAAAATTGAAACTATGAAAGGATGAGGACAGTTTATATTTGGGGCCTAATTTTTTTCCTTGGAAGACTACTGCATATTCTGTCAATGTCAAAATGACATGGCAAGTGAATGATCTATTGTTTGCTGGATGTAAATAGATGAATTAAAGACCATTTGTTTGCGCCTTCAGTTTTATTAAGGGATCAGAGGGTTGGAGCTGTCCATTGCTGACAGCTAGTTCATCTAAGGGAAAGTGGAAGAAAAATCTTGGATTTTAAATTACTGATGGGAGAAAATGGAGGGTGCATGAGGGAAACAGTATTTTAGTGTGTATTCTATTAAAATTAGACATAATTATATAAAACAGTAATTATATTTTCTATTCCCTCTTTAAACTGATTTTGAAAGGAAATCTTTTATTACAGTGTTCTTAATGAGAGGAAAAATGAAATTTGCATGTACTGCTGACTGACGAAGTCAAGTGTATATTCTCTCAGTACTTAGCAAGTGCTACTAAGTGCTACAAGTCCAATTTTCTTATATATCATAATGATATAAAGCAGTCATTAGATATAGTTGGTTATATTTTATGTTTGTGTGTATACACATATGCTGCGTATCCATTTCCAGCGTAACGTTAGCACTGATTTACTCATTATCAAGCATAAGCGTTTGGTATGAGTAGAAGAGGAAGCTGAAGACCCAGGAAGAGTGGAGGAGCGGGTTGGACATTTCATAATTCTAGTGTATTTACCATTTCCTTCTTTTCCAACCTTATGTCTGTCTTTCTGCTTCTCTCTACTTCGCTGTTCTCTTTGCCTCCTAGCAATCCCTCACCCCCCTCCTGCTTCCCTGCTGCTTCCTTTTTTGCTTTCCTTCGCTTTCCCTGTCTGTTCTCCCCTCTGTCTCTCTGGCTTCTCCACCTCTCTCTGTATATTCCCTCTTCCCACCTGCTCATATACATATGCCACCCATGCTACTTCCCTCATATCCACCCATATTTCCCTATTTTTGTCTTGCTCTCCTATCCCATAAAAGATCTGGGTATATGTAAAATATATTATTTCATAGGAATAACGAGTTAAATTTACAATCTTCTTTAGAGATACGCTGAATAGTTGCTGTAGTTCATAAAATGTATTGATGTGTTTTTCTAAAGGCTTAATTCCCGATGAGGGATTTACTTAAATACCAAAGGGAATTGGGCTCATCTTGTACATTTTCCCATCAAAGCCATACAAACACCAGTATTCAAATGTTCCACCATATTAATTACTGGCTGGATGGCAGGTAGCACAGTAAAAGGACCCAGAAGATTGCTTGGTTAATCTCTTTAGAATATAATCTACAATCTTGGTTAGGGAGGAAATCAATTTAAGAAATTAAAAACCCTCAAACACTTGCAGGTATGGTTTCTAAAGTTTCAAAGGAGACTGTTCTGAAAGGATTGTTCAGAATTGCTATTAAAGACCAAAAAAATTAAAGATTATGCCAGCATCTATGAAAACTGCAGTAGTGGTAATGTGGGACCATGCTCAAAAGTTGAGGAGGAAGCAACTATGCCCCAGTTTAAAAAAAAAAAAAGTTGAGGAGGAGAAATCCAGACTATTGGCGTAGTTATATAAGTATGACCCCCTTCCCATGTATATTTTATACTGTTCTTTTTTCTGACCACTACGTTTTCTGTTTTCCGCATTCCCCAGATTTCAGTTAAAACGCAGCATGCGTATGCCAAGCTAATGTAAACCCAGAATTCCCCAGTTTTCTAGCTCTGTGTGCGTGTGTGCGTGCGTGTGGACACTTCCCTGTCCTATCCTTATGAGAATCATCCAAGTCTCCCATGGGATGTGAATAAGGGCAGGACACACACTCCTTCCCCGTCATTTCACAGACCACCAGGAAGTTCCTGCATTTCTCTAGCTGTGCAGTTACCTCAGAATTGCTGCTTGTGTGCTCGTGAACCAGTGACTGTCATTGCCTTGTCAAGGAACAAAGTGGTATAGGGTGTCCTCTCTTCGGTGTCCCAAGCACGAATTCAGGCTTTTAATTCCTTATAGTATTGCTACAGTGGTTATTATAATCAAAACAGAACAGGAAACAATTTCAAATCGGGTATCAGATGGCATGGCACTGCTCCTGTAATTCATGGTCATACACTCTTTTTGTATAGCAACTTTATTGAGATACAGTTCTCATCTACCATAAAATTCACCCTTGTTAAATACAGTACAGTTTAGTAGTTTTTAGTATATTCAGAGATATGTGATCACCACCACTGATCATACGCTCCTTCTGGAGGTCTCCCACCTTCCCACCTACCCACTTCTCCCTAGTTTGTCACCTTGCTGCCAGGGCCTGCTCCCTTTTAGATCTGAGTACCCTCTCTCTGATGTTCTTCCAGGGCTCTCAATTTCTCGTCTTCAGCCATCAACCCTTCCATCCCCACCAGAAGTTAAAAAAAAAATTGTTAACATTAACAGTCTTTCTATCCAAGGAAGTCTGTTCTTTTTCTTTTATTGTTCAAAAGAGTTTGTTTGATTCAGTGTTCACAGCAGTTTAGATCCCGTTATCTCAACCTCTCTCTTTCATAGCAGGCTCTAGGCCTTTCGATAAGACCCAAAGGGATGTCCTTTCAGTCTTCTTAAATCCCTCCTTTAGACTGAGGAAGTGGCAGTAGGCAGTATTAGAAATGGTACTTCTTTTGATCCAAACATACAGGTCTAGTACCAACCTGTTTCCTGAACATCATCACTGTATTTCTGCATGTCAGGTTTCATCTTCCCTTTAGATCAGCTCATCCTTGAATTTTTAATTCTAATAGCTGTCATTTTCCCATTCACTTGAAAGCTCCATGATAACCGATTGTTTTTCCCTTGTACCTAATGTTCCTGCCGTCCTTTCACCTCCACCCTGTCTCTTGCAGCTGTTCTCTCCTTTCCATTCCCAGTGCCATCACCGCAGATTAGACTCTCATGTTTTGTACTCTTCTAACTTTCTTTGTTTCTTGCAGCTCTGTTCTATTTTACATACTGCTGCCGCGTACCGTTTCTTTTTGTGCCATTCCAATGATGTTTCCGAACATCACAGTCCTCAGAAACTTCTCATTGCCTGCTGAATTAATAATACAGATTAAATATACAGATCTCTACCCTTACATTCAAGGCCTTCAACAAAACAGCCACAGTCTGCCTTTTTCTTTTTTTGCCAGTGCTTGCCTACTTTAACCCTAGGTTCCAGCCAAACCGGTCTGTCCCGTAGCACTTTGTGAAGCGCCCAGCATCAAGCCTCCACTTCTCTTGCTCTGCCTCTGTGTGAACTGCCCTCCTCCAGTCTGTATGCCCGCTCTGCAGCCTGACTATTGGTCAGGACTGTCTCAGACACTGTCCTCTACGCAGCTTTCCCCGTTCCCAGCCCCTGCCAGTCAGATGTATGTTCTGTCTCCTTTGCTCTCCCACAGTGCTTTCTCTTTTTTTTTTTTAATAATGTTTATTTTATTTGGGTACTCATCTAATCTGCTCTACTTGAATGTAATCTCTTTGAGCAGGTGTCTTGTACTATAGTTTCCCTGGAACACTGTCTACAGTGACATTTATGTAGCAGTAATGGTTGTAATAACAACAAGAACAATAACAGTAATGGGAACTAACGTTTATTGAGCACTTATTATCTGCTGAGCACTGTTTTAGTAAATTTCCATGAATTAACATATTTATTTCTCTTACCCTGTAAGGGAGATACTATCCCTATATTGCAGATGGGGATACAGGCAAAGAGAATTTAAGTAGTTAGAAAGCAGCAGAATTGGGATTTGAACCCCCAGGGTCTTATGATTTAGGAGACTACATTCTTTTTTTTTTTAGTTTACTTTTTATTGAAGTATAGTTGAATTAAGGAGACTATATTCTTAACCTTGCTGCTATGCTGCCTTTTAGTAGTACTCTGTAAATAATGAATTGTACACAGAATTAGAAATAGTATAGAACAGTATTGTTACCCAAGTTCCTGAATGGCAGTTTTTAATTTATGCATCATTTCATCTCACTGGATTTAGTAGTGAATATATAAAGCATCTGAATACAGACTGAAGTATTTTCAGTAGAATATCTTAAATGACAGACATTCTCTCATAAAGTGGATAGACTATAGCTATCTTAGATATAAGTTCCCTAGTTAGATGGGTTAAAGAATTTTGAAAGTAACTGTCTTGATTAAAGAGTACTCCAAATAGGAAACCAGTGGAATTCTTTAAGCTGTCTCATGAGGATATCCTGAGGGAACTAAGTATCTTAAATGTTTTAAATACTATTTTCTGTAAACAAACTGTCCTTTTCCTCCCTCCTTTTTACAAAGCAAAGCCAGTGGTCGTTAATACCACCCCAGTGCGGATGTCAGTGCCACTTGTCTCAGCGCAGACTGTCAAACAAGTGAGTATCACATCACTTCTTCTCTCAGTCTCTCCCAAACAATTTACTTTTAAAATTGAAAGTTAAGATTTACGTTTAAGAGATTTATTGATTTATTTATTTTTATTGAAGTATAGTTGATGGGCAATATTATATAAGTTACAGGTGTACAAAATAGTGTTTCACAATTTTTAAAGTTTATACTCCATTTATAACTACTGTAAAATATTGGTTATATTCCCTGTGTTTCACAGTATATCTTTGTAGCTTATTTATACATAATAGTTTGGACCTCTTAATCCCCCAAGTTTAAGAGATTTATACTGAATTGAGAAACTGTGAAATTTATTTTCGTGGTCATTGACATACTTCCTTTCTTTTTAGGTTGTTCCAAAACCAATCAATCCAACTTCCCAAATAGTCACCACCAGCCAGCCACAGCAGCGGCTTATCATGCCTGCCACCCCACTGCCACAAATCCAGCCAAACCTCACGAACCTGCCACCAGGCACTGTGCTGGCACCGGCTCCAGGAACAGGGAATGTAGGCTATGCGGTGCTTCCTGCTCAGTATGTGACTCAGGTATGGGCAAAAAATTAAGTCATCGCATTTCAAAAAGTTTAATTGGGTCTAAGATGTCTAGCATTATCACATTCTAAAACTATTCAAAAACATCTAACTCAGTGTTTAGACTGTTTCCAAAACCTTGAATTGTTAACGAAAACTTCTGAGTTTAATTTTATATATCTTTAGTATTTAGAAATATACAGCACAAGTTAAGTATACAAGTCAGGCAATTTGGAGCTGAGAACAGTTTGGTAGGAGGGCAAGATCATGTAGATATAAGAGAAAATATGTTGAGTTAAAATCAGCAGAGTCCCAGGCTTCCCTGGTGGCGCAGTGGTTGAGAGTCCGCCTGCCGATGCAGGGGATGCGGGTTCGCGCCCCAGTCTGGGAAGATCCCACATGCCGCGGAGCGGCTGGGCCCGTGAGCCATGGCCGCTGAGCCTGCGTGTCCGGAGCCTGTTCTCCACAATGGGAGAGGCCACAACAGTGAGAGGCCCGTGTACCGCAAAAAAAAAAAAAAAAAATCAGAGTCCCAGTGAGTTTAGAAAGCACTGTGACTATAATGAAGTTCCTCCTCACATTATGAATACGATGCCGCTCACCTGTTCTTGGAAAATAGTCTGTGAGATGCACTTCCAGGTGACATATCGGTAGTGATCTGTCCAGATCTGGTCATCTTTAGATGACATCTGGTTATCTTTGGAATCAAAGCCACATGTTATCCAATTGGCTGGCTTGGGTTAGGAGTGCTGCTTTCTAGGAAGAAGATAGAAGTTGTTTTCTTTTTCATGTAAAAATCAAGCAAATTAATTAGCACCATATTCTAAGCTGTTGAGTTGATCTACTCAAGATTATAAGAGAGACAGAAACCTGTGTACTTTAAAGAAGTGTACTTTGGAGTATGTTATGTGGCTACTGATTGAAAAAATTAGTGTTCAGCATTTTTATCATTAGCATCTCTTTTCTTATGTTTAGAAATCAGTGTAAAATAGAAACTTAATTATTACGTATGTAACTTCTCATTCTCTATAACTTGTGATAAATGATCACATTTTATTTATTTTATTTACAAGTAGACACATTGCATTTTTCTAGCCAATACAAGTTTTACTACAGTACTTTCAGGACATTCATCTGGAATTTCCTAATTCTGATATCCTTATTCCTCTGTGAAAGAATTTCTTATATTTATGCCATGTAGTACTTTAAAATGTCCACATTGTTTTTACCTCTGGTATTAGTTTTGGGTCTTTAGAAGAGCTCTATGAGGTAGTGAGTATGTTTGTATGAAATTCTCTGTTCTGTTTTTCCTATTTTAATAGATGCATTTGTGCTTCTTACCAATCATTATATTTAGGAGTATTGTCCATTTTTGTAAATATGGTCTGAAATTACCTTTCTTTATATGTAGCTACAGCAGTCTTCCTATGTGTCTATAGCAAGCAACTCTAACTTTACCGGAACACCTGGTATCCAGACCCAAGCAAGGCTTCCGTTCAATGGGTGAGTGAGTAATTTGAATATATGTAAGTTAAGTTGTTGGATCAGGTTAAATGCAACATCAAATATACATATATATTTCAAAATACATGTATTTAATTTTTTTCCCCTCAAAGCCATGTGAGTGTGCCTCTGTGGTACTTTTTATTTTGAAATACTTTAAACAGAAAAGTTGCAGGAATAGTCAGAGAACTCCCAAATTATCTTTTACTCCGATTCACCATTTCTGGTACAGGTGATTTGTTATTTTCTCTCTCTTTTCTCTTTTTCTCTGTCTCCTCCTGAATATGTTTTAAAAATGATATTAACTAGTTTTTAAATTGTTATGTAGGTCTTTGCTTTTTCTTTTGTTTATTTGTTTTTTGATCTGTCAATTGCTGCCTTTGCAGTTTTGGTTGAGAAGCAGTGCTTTAGTTAATTACGTGGAACCAGTCTACCTCTCCTCTCCCCTCCTAAATTCCAACTTCACACACCCTTTTCTACTTACTACCTTTCATAATTGAATCCCAAAGAGTTTAGGAGATTTCAACTTTAGTTCTCTTAGAAGAAAGAGTATATTTTGTGGAATGTTCTTCAGAAACTATTGATAACTTCCTTTTCTTTTTTTTTAAATCCATATCTTGGCTCTCTACCTTTATTTTCATGGTACAACTTGCTTTTCAACTTAATGTAAATGGAACAACGTAAACTTTTATTAGAGATGGGCACATTTGTTAAAGCTTTATTTTAGGAGGAATTTACAGATTAGAGACTTTTCTCAGTTTAAATAGTTACCTTTAATTGATTAAAATGTATATCTTTTTGTTTGTGTCTGTGTAGCATAATGCCATCAGAATCTGCCAGTCGGCCCAGAAAGCCTTGTAATTGTACAAAATCGCTGTGTTTGAAATTGTAAGTCCTTTTGCTGCTGTTTCCTCATTTGATATAACTGAAAATGCTTTTAAAAATAAGTGGAGTTGGGCTTCCCTGGTGGCGCAGTGGTTGAGAGTCCGCCTGCCGATGCAGGGGATGCGGGTTCGTGCCCTGGTCCGGGAAGATCCCACATGCCGCGGAGCGGCTGGGCCCGTGAGCCATGGCCACTGAGCCTGCGTGTCCGGAGCCTGTGCTCCGCAACGGGAGAGGCCACAACAGTAAGAGGCCTGCGTACCGCAAAAAAAATAAAAATAAAAAATAAGTGGAGTTAACTAAAAATTCTTAACAGACCAATTTCATAAGTCTAAGTAATTAAACATACGAGTGAATGAACACATATGACGGTGTAAAAAGACTCTTTCATTCATTCAGAAGGAAATAATTTTAGAGTCTTTACCACAAATGAGGCACTGGAGTAGGGCTTAGGGATCCAGCTGCATGAGACAGACATGATCTCTGTCCTTGCTAATAAATGTGATCTTATTTGTGACCTTTATGTTTGGTCTCTTAAATGAGATGATACTCTGAGTAGTTTTTTTTAACTTGTTGATTAATTTGCTTGTTAGTACTGAAGAGATGTGACATGAAACAGTTAAATAAAAAGCAGTGGTCTTATGGGGGTTTAGAATCCAAAGAAACATGACAGTAGTTCACGTGAGCAGGTTCCACTAATATAATAGAATATAGCCCATGTTTTTCCTTTTTGTGATTTTGAAATAACTTACTTTTGGGGTGCATAAAAATCACATAGCTCTTGTGTTGACAGCTGTTACTACTGGAACTAAGTTTCTAAACCAAAATTCTAGGAGCTGATGACTTTACTTTTGAGCCTTGTCAGTACCTGTTGTTAACTCTATAAGTCGGTGGCTCTGAATACATTTCTAAAATGCTTTACTGCATATATAATGCTATTAAATAAGATAATTTCTAGTTTTGTTTCTCTTAAAAATGACTTTTTTATATGACTTACAATGATTTTTATATTCCAGATACTGTGATTGCTTTGCAAATGGTGAATTTTGCAACAACTGCAATTGTACTAATTGTTATAATAACTTGGAACATGAAAATGAAAGGCAAAAAGCAATAAAGGTGATTATTTCTTGTTTCATTTAACTGACAAAAGTTTACAATTTCACCTGTTTTTTTGTTGAGCTCAAGTATTTTATGAAGAAAATTAATTCCCTTTGCAGAATTTAAGTTTAATCTACTGTGATTTAACATCACTTGATATTTGATCTGTTTTGATAGGCATGCCTTGACAGAAATCCAGAAGCTTTTAAGCCCAAGATAGGGAAAGGAAAGGAGGGAGAATCAGATCGACGTCACAGCAAAGGATGTAATTGCAAACGATCAGGATGTCTTAAAAACTACTGTGAATGCTATGAGGTGAGTTGAGGTTGGGAAAAATAATCTAACCATCTTTTGAAAATAACTTTAGAAAGTGCATACAAAAAAAATTTACTTGTAAACTGGGAAATTACTTTGCAATTGCAGTTTGAAAATATTGCAGTTTGAAAAGTCAGCCCAAGGGCCCTAATTTGAGGAAGACCTACCTTCTTGCCTCCCAAGCAGGGCTTCAGAGTAACAGTACCTTTGTTTTGTCATTACAGCTTGGGGTCTCATTAGCAGAGTTACCAGCTCATAACTTCGTGGTCATTGTACCTGAAAGTATGCAAACCACAGCACCAGTTTGTTGATTTTCAATAACAATAACATCAAAGTGGACTGGACACTCTGTAGTAGTGGTTCTCCACTGAGGGGTATTACTACCCAGTTTCTCCCCTACAGACTTTTCGGAAATATATACGGATAATAGCCTGCATTTCAGGGTGCAGTCCTGAGAGTATAGTCTTACCTTGTTCCAAATGCTAGTAGTGCCCTGTTGAAGAACACTGCTCTGTGGAAAATTAAATTATGTTAGAAGGTTTGCCTTGTGAGCATAAAAATAGGTAAGGAGGAATATGTAATTGCTGGATGAGGTTATTGGCTATTGTGAGGTGACTGCATCCATTTTACCATCTAATCATCCCACTCAACTGGCTGTTTTTATTTATGGGTCAGGCAGCATCTTTTCTGGAAAATGTATATTGAAACTCTGCTTTGATAGATGCCGTGTAAATGATCCACTTGTTTCAGACAAAGTACTATATAGTTTGTTATTTTTATTTTCAAAGCTTAAATAAAGCAATCTAGTCATACCCAAGATTAATCCAAGGTTACTACAATTGGTTTCTTGGTGCGCCCGAAACTCATTCCTATGGCAGTTGGCTCTTCTCATCTGTTATATTTTCATTCGTTCAGATTTCATATGCAGAGGGAAACCTTATTTTAGTTTTGGCCAAAGGCCTGGCCTGGTAAAGTAATACCAGCAAGCACTGCACTCTCCCTTGGCCAGGTGTGCTCTGCTCTAGGAGCACGTACCTGCAGCCCAGTGCCCCACCCCCATACCAGGTGTGTCGTAGTAAAGATTTTGTGTACTGTATTCTCTCTGTAGTGAATTCTTAATTTACATATTTCAGAGGTCAAATACTCCTCTCAAAAAGTACAGTAAAGTAACATTTTGTTAGTCCTAAAGTCAGTAGGAGTGAAAATTGCACATAATCAAGATTATTTTTGAAAGTCTCTTAAACAGTGTCGCAGAGTCCAACAAGCCAGTTTTTCATTCACATTGGGAAAGACTGACTCTTGTTTGCACACCTGATGAGATAGGTGGCTTCTGTTCACAGACCGTATCATACAAAAATTGTCATGAATATGTAAGCATGTAAGCTATAAAACCAATTCCACACACAAAAAAGAGAAAATGGAAACTGTTATAAAGCTGGGTCAGAAGGGCAAAGAAAGCCTTTCTTGCATATGGCATTGAACAATCAATACATGCTAAGCATATGAAATTCAGACATACATGAACTAAATAATTGAACTGGTTGACAATTCTGTGAACTAATAGAAGTAGAAAAGGCAGTGGACTGGTTGAAATATGTTAGAAGAGAGAAAGCTGCTCTATCTATTTTGATAAAATCCTTGACATTCAGGACATAAACAATGTCTAATAACTAATATGTTCTAAAAGACCAAGCAATGGAAAAACTTGGAATACAGTGAACTCTGACTAGCAGTGGCCAGTTGGCTCACTGTGAATTACTTATGATGTTGTCTGACAGTTTGTGTTGTTCACCTTTTGAACTGACTTGGCTTTTTTGGTCCAGTTGGTCTGCATCTGGATAAGACATTGATGTCCCTTTCACACGCCTTTCAGGGCTTGTTGATTGAATGAGTGACTGTCCACATTATTTAAGTGATTGTGACTTTTCTTGTGACCTTTTCCCCCCTCCCTCTTTTTTTTTTTTTGGCCACAAGAGAAGTTGAATTAGCAATGCTAAATGGATGACTTGTATTTGTAATTTCTCCCTCCTGAGTTCCTATTAGACATTATTAGTACCTTTCTTATAATTCTTAAAACTTAATCCAAATTACCATTATCAGTATGTCTTCTTCCCCTGGAGGTTAGGAATTTTATCTCTTCACCATTAGATACTTATTATGTATTGCTTCAGTTGGATCCCAGACTGGCTCCTAGTAAATAAGCCGGTTAACTCAAAAGGTATATCCATTTTTTTTTCCTTTGGTAAATGGAATTTATTAGTGTATTATAAAAAAGGAGCAGGGTAGGTGTGTTCATAATATGATCCATTTATCTTACTGTAGAGAGGAAGGACAGTAGGCTTGTTTATTTATTTAAATTGATGTGGGTTTGCTCAAGAAAAAGTAGCCAACAAAAGATACTAAAATTTACTAGGAGTCTGGGAAATGTAAATTAAAGAATGAGATCTCACTTTATTAAAAAGAGCTATAGTATACATTGTTGGAGGGAATGTAGGAAAGGCTTCCTTTATCCATTGCTAATGAGATGTGAGGTGTTACAGCCTTCTGAAAAAACAATCTGGCCACATCTATTAAAATTAAAATACATGTACCCTTTGAGCAGTGAGCCCAGTTCTAGAAACCTAGCTCATAGAAATAAAAGCGTAATATATACAAAAAAATGTTTTTATGCATTGTTTGTGGAACTCAAGAACTGGAAACAAAACAAATGACCATCAGTAGAGAAGTGAATGCCCAAATAAAATGTGGCACATCCATACCAGGGGTTAATAGCCAGTCATTAAACAGGATGAATTCAGCCTATGCCAGATGACTTGGAGGGAGGGATTTCATGAAGTATAGTGTGAGAAAAGGAAGATGCAGAAAAGTGGGTATATGATTATGTAAAACAAACAAAAAAAAAGAAAGACTTCTGTATTGGTGAGTTAATATATGTACATAAAGCCTGTGTTTTTCATAAATATACATATAGTTTGTATATCTTTACATGAAAGGACACACTGGTTTAATACGGACTGTTGAAGGGTTTGGGGACTCTGGACAGGGGATTTATTTAGGGAGGGGGAGGTATTCATAATAAAAATAGTGTCTGTGAAATTCCTTTGATATGATACTGTGTGTGTGTTTGCATAAGTGGGAGGTCACCAACATGTTAATGGTGATTTGATTGAGGTGGCTGGATTCTGGATGACCCGTTTTTTTGAATATTGTATCACTCATTTTTTAATAAAAGAACATTTGTTATTCATATCAGGAGGAAAATCTATAGTGGGGGAAAATTGGCGTGGAAGGCCTCAAACAAACATAGTATAGCCACTTTCAGAGTGGCCAAGAATACTGGACCTATGCACATGCATAGCTGGCCCCTTTGGTGTTTGTCACAAGAGATGTTTCCATTTTATCTATGTCAGTTGACCAGCTAACTCTGTCACCTATTGACTTGATTGTGGAGTCTACTATAGTGATGTCTTTTGGTTTTGATTTGGAAGCTTTTCTTTTGTAAATCTTTTAGGCAAAAATAATGTGTTCCTCAATATGCAAATGTATTGGCTGTAAGAATTTTGAAGAAAGCCCAGAAAGAAAGACATTGATGCACTTGGCAGATGCAGCCGAAGTAAGGGTACAGCAACAAACAGCAGCAAAGACTAAGTTATCCTCTCAGATTTCGGACTTGCTTACTAGGCCAACACCAGCTTTGAATAGCGGAGGAGGAAAGTAAGTCAATATTTGAATATCTTTTTATAGTATGATATATTCATTTTTGGTGAAGTTTCTTTTTTGGGGCAAAATTGGGCTCATACTTTTGGTTGTTGCACACCTGACTTTTGCATTTTCTATCTTTAATTACTTGTAAAGGAATTTAAAAGTAACAGAAAAATCACTGTCAGATATATCGTACAGTTCTAAAATGCACGGTAGTGTATTAGGTCACTGTGCTTAATTTAATTGGATTTCTCCCTACTAAGATGAGGGAAATTTGAATAATTTGACAAAAATTTGAATAATTTGACAAACCTTGAAGAAAACCAAAATTTTTATACCTCTTACCGGTTGTGTTGTTATTCACATTTTTTCACATTCTTACCTTCTTACCTTCCCGTGCCCATGTGGCACTTTCCCCACCCTGTTGGAGAGCCTGTCACACACTGTGTTATTTTACCTCCTTATTTCCCTAGACTGCTGAGCTCTGGAGTAGGAAAGCTGGAGCTTTACAGTCAGGCTGACCTGAGTTTAAATCCTGTCTGTGCTCTGTTGTAATTTGTGATTTTGCCAAGCACTTCACCTCTCTGGGCCTTACCTTGGTTTTCTTATCCTTCACATCACCCTTTTCACGTGGCTCTGAGGAGTAAAGCACAGCTTGGCAGGGCCCATTGCACATAGCATGCTGACTTGAATTTGTATTAGAGAGTTTGTTAGAGGTTAATCTGAGGAATTATTAAATGGAATGAGCCTTGAAAATGGTATTTCATTTAAAATGCCAAAGTTGAAATAAGATCCAACTTATAAAACTTATAAAAGTAAGGCTTTTGTACAAAATATTTCAGATATTAGTTCTAAAGAACTCTTTCTTGTAACTGGAGTATAATCAGCAAAAAGTTCTTGATTGAATGAAGTGGAAATGGACAGACACCTTAATGAGGGGTATCACAAAGGGTCCTTTCTGGTCATCTGCTTTCAGTAAACCTTAGGTTATTAAGTCTAATCTCTATGAGGAGATTAAAGATATTGCTACACTAAAATATTTACAATTAATTTTTCAACTTGGGAAGATATCTGTTATTATGAAGTGTGAAAGAACACAAAATTATGCACTGTTATCAAAACTAAGTATAAAAAAACTGTATTAAAGAAGTCCTACTAGCGTATTAACAAGCTTTTGCCTTTGAGTGGCAAAAATTTGATTTTTTTTTTCCATTTTCTTTCCTATAGTTTCCAAATACTATATAATGAGTGCTACTGTTATACACTATTAATTACTTTTTCAATATTACTGTAATATTAACTTTATTGTAATATTTTAATATTATATTTTCTAATTTAAAATGCTTTTTATATTTTAAAGATTTCTATACAAATGTATAGCAGCCTAAATCCTGTCACCCTATCTTGTCATAGTGGGCCTTAAGTTCAGACTTCATTCATTTTGTTGTTGTTCTTGTTTTAAATTTTATTTATTTATTTATTTTTGGCTGCGTTGGGTCTTTGTTGCTACGCACAGGCTTTCTCCAGTTGCGGCGAGTGGGGGCTACTCTTCGTTGCGTCCCGGGCTTCTCATGGTGGTGGCTTCTCTTTGTTGCAGAGCACGGGCTCTAGGCACGTGGGCTCAGTAGTTGTGGCTCTTGGGCTTAGCTGCTTCGCGGCATGTGGGATCTTCCCGGACCAGGGATCGAACCCTTGTCCCCTGCATTGGCAGGCAGATTCTTAACCACTGCCCACCAGGGAAGTCCCAGACTTCATTCATTTTGTTTTGCAGTTTCCTTCTATCAGTGACTGCTTACTTACAGGTTGTTGAGTTACTGGTTAGATTAGGTTACCCGGTTTTGTTTCTTAGGCTCTACAACTTGGCTACATATAGCTAGCCTCGGGATGGATTCCTCTGCTTTAATACTCAATAGTTCAGGTCTTTATGAATGAAACTCCATGTACAGAACAGCATCTGGTGTCCCTGTTGTTTCGTTTTTGATATCATGGAATAATGCAAAATTTTGGTGCGCTTTTTTTTTTTACAAACATTATATGGGACTATGGGAAAGTGCTTTATTTTCCATGTTGTCCAGGAGATAGTGCTTTCAATTTCCAATATTATTCATTCATTCAGCAAATATTCATGGGGTGTCTCTGTGTCAGGCACTGTTGTAGGCAGTGCAGAAACAACAGTAAATAAAACAAAAACTGCACTCAGAGCTTATATACATGAATCAGGAGGACTTTTGTTATAGCAGTATCCAGTTAACATGTAGAGTTACGTTTCAGTTAACCAGGTAACTTTGTCTAGGTTATATGTATTTTACGTAAAACGTTATATATAATTTTTTTATTATTTTATTTTATTTTATTTTTTTTGCGGTACACGGGCCTCTCACTGTTGTGGCCTCTCCCGTTGCGGAGCACAGGCTCCAGACGCGCAGGCTCAGCGGCCATGGCTCATGGGCCTAGCCGCTCCACGGCATGTGGAATCTTCCCGGACCGGGGCACGAACCCGTGTCCCCTGCCTTGGCAGGCGGATTCTTAACTGCTGCACCACCAGGGAAGCCCAGGTCTAACTTTTTAAAAACTCTGTGGGATGTGCTTTTGTTCATCACACATACTGTGATGTTCAGTGTGCTTGCTGAATCGTGAAAATGTCGACAGAGATTTCTAGGTGAAAGAATGTCAGCCACTCTTGCTGTTATTCAACACCATCATCATCTCTCTCTTTCTTAAAAATCATTTCAGATTGCCATTTACGTTTGTCACTAAGGAAGTAGCTGAAGCCACGTGTAATTGCCTTCTTGCCCAGGCAGAGCAGGCAGACAAGAAGGGGAAATCAAAGGCAGCAGCTGAACGGATGATACTTGAGGAATTCGGGCGATGTTTGATGAGCGTCATCAACTCTGCAGGAAAAGCAAAAAGTGACCCTTGTGCCATGAATTGCTAACTCTTGCACAAAAGACTGATAAATCGAACTGTACAGAAAATTGAAGGTGCAGGGACACTTGATTTTCTGGAAGATAGTTTAACAATTATTGTATTGTTAATTCAGTCTTGTGAGACCTGAAATTATAATATTGAATGAGGAGAAATTTTAAACGAGGAAATTACATTTTAAATCTTAGTTAAATCTGCTTATGCCCCTTCTAAATTGAATTTTTCTTTATTGTATTATATGGATTTTTAATTTGCTTGGGTTTCTTAAGAACTAGATGTTCTGTCCTTCTGATTCTATTGACAAAGAACATTTATAAATTACTATTATATAATTTATAATGTATGGCGTTGTATGACTTTGTTCCAGTAGAAAAAGCCAAAGAAGCACTGGTATTACCCGGTCATTCTTTGGTACTAGATCTAGAATATAAGCAGATATTATGTCTACATAAACGAAGTCTTATGAAACATATTCAAATGACATTTTGTGTTTAGAAAAGCACTATCTTTTTAAGAAAAATCAACATTTTAGGGTGGATTCTGGAATATATCCTGTTGTCACTTTGGGAATTGTCAGAAGGGGAAGTACTCTGTAGGGCACACTTTAAAAAAGTTATTTTGTTTTTTTTAAAAACATATAAAGTGTTAACAGACAGAAAATAATTCTCAAAGGGCAGACAGTTTGCTTCTATAATAAGAAGTGACTAAGAAATGCTCTGGGATGTTTCCATTTTCTTTCAAGGAGGCGGTATGTATTTGAAATAATAAACTCAGTGATTAAGGGGTACTATTAAAATGAGCGGTGCATATGAATAGAAGTAAACATTATGATTATGTAGTGATAAAATAGAACCTTACATAATTACCAGTTAACAAATTTGGTTTGGATGGAGAAATAAAGAATATTGAAGCTCTAAGAGATGAATTTAGAGAAGGAGTTTTCATCTATACAAACAGTTCTTTTTCTAGACTTTTGAACTAAGATGTTTCAAACCAATCTATGACTCTTACTTGATTTACTGAAAGGGGCCTCCTAACAAAGCTTTCAAAATTGTAGTGGGATTTCTTTTTATAAGGGAAGCTTATTATGGCATTATTTGTAGCCAGTGATTTGGTTAGCTAAAGGTATGAGTGTTTTCATATAATTACTAAGATAACCTAAATCATTTTCAGTAATTCAGAATTCAAAAGCTTTATGAATTTAAGAGCCTGTTATAATAGGACTCTGGATTTTATGATGAGAAAAAACCATGTTGGAATTCAGGCATTTTGCTAGGTACCTTAATCCTCAGTAATTAGTAGTATATGATTATTACATTTCCTACAAGGAATCTATAGTTGTATGTATTAAGTGTGTATATATGTTCATATGAACATGCAAGATATAGGCAATAGAAATTAAGTAATCCAAAAAAGATTCCGTTATTCATTAAGCATCTTCCTTTTAAACTTTGGATTTATAAAATTATAGTGCAGTAACTTTAAATGTAGATAGTGCAAACATTCTTAGCACCTCAATCTAGTATGTTTAATTAAAATTTGTAAAAATGTAAACTAGTGTAAGAGGATAAAATAATATCTAATCAAGTTATTTTTCAAAAGATTACAGTACCTTTTTTGTCTAAACCTGAACTTTGTTCATTCTGTATATATTCTGTGTTTAATTCTAATTGCACCTTTGTGATGTGTATTTATATACAGTGTGCATAAAATGTTTGTGAAATTTGGATTACAGTTGTAGATTATGTATGATGGCATTGCTTGAGAATGTTTTGCTTGTAAAAATTTGAAGGTGCAATCAAATGCTACTAGTTTTTCTGATTTTCAGGAAGCTATCTAAAGTATTAAGACTTTTCCTTCCTGTGTAGTACTTACTAAACAACTTTTTGTATTTAGGCATTTGCATCAAATTGCTGAACAAGATTAATATCCACATTAATTCAACAATTTTAAAAGACTATTTGGGGAGGGTTGGGTATATAATTTTTTAGCTCTATTTACATCCCAAAGTAGAAAGATTAAATTTATATTTACTAGAGCTATTCAAAGAATACACTTTTCTATATTGTAAAAACAGGACAGCAAAGTAAATCATACAGAAAATAAACATTTATACTATTCTGTAAAAAAAGGGTTTGCATTTTTTCTTTAATAACACCACTTTTAACCATTTAAGATGCAAGAAACCTTTTAAAATATCTGATATTAAGTAAATTTGACATTACTTCTGAAAGCACACAACTAAAAAATAAATCTATCATTTTGCCCAGTTATCATTAACTATAAATTGCTTTGAAATGAGAATATGTCTTGTCTTTTTTCCACTGTTTCTTTTAAGGGCAGAAACTCTTTTCTCTTAATGTTTGATGTTCTTATGATGAGCACCTTTCTTAATTTCCTTTTCTCTCAAGAACTAAAAGCAACCTGTAGGTCTTACCTCTGGACTATTACGGGAGACAGAAACTTAATGTTACAGGTAAAAAAAACAAGCGGAGCAGTGACCTTGCGGGAGAGACTACTGTTTTGGCTTCCCCATTCTTTGATATGGACAACTGACATTTTCTCAGTCTTATGTAAAATGTGAATAAAAATACCTTTAGAAAAGTTTTCTATTTTTATTGTTTTATAACACAAATAGCTAAGAAAATGAATGCTTCTTATGTAAATGCAGCTTCAAACCAGGACTTCCAGCCCTGTGATCATATTGCATCCCTTATGTGTTTTATAAAGGAATTCTGGAGCAGCAGTCCAAAGGAGAGGGAAGCCAACCAGCTAGAAAGCCTTGACTATTGTAGTTATTTTTCATTATGTAAATAACTTAGGACTTTTTTTTTCCTTGTTAGGGCTTCTTTAATGCACATTTTGTCCTTATCTATAGACCAAATGTGAGCTTTTTATAATCCAAGTGATTTTATAAGATGTTAAGATATAAAGGCTTTAATTAAAATTTTGTTTAAAAATTGTCTTATGAAAGCATTTAAGGCATTTTTAGTTTATTCAAAAGCCATAAGGGTATATGCAGGGTAATGTTTAAAGCCACAGACTTTAATGTAACTCTGTAGTTTAGTATATTAGTAAATGAAATCTGGCCATATGTAAAAGAAAAAAAAAATCATGACTAGTTGGGTTTATCCCAGAAATAAAAAGTTGACCCAACATTCAAAGAAATCCATGTAGTTCAGTGTGTCAGCATACAAAACAAAAACTACATGACCATCTCAAAAATTGCAGAAAACCACCTTTTGAATATACCAAGTACTACTAGATTATATGCTTTAAAAGGGTGAATACTGTGGTATGTAAATTATATCTCAAAAAGTTTTTTTTCCAAAAAGGTGCAGAAAATCCTCTGACAAAATTCAACAACCATTTATGATTTAAAAAAAAAACAAAACTCTTCAGCAAATTAGGAATAGAAGGGATCCTCAACCAAAAAAGCCTACAGCTAACATCATATGAATGGTGAAGACTGAATGCTTCCTCCTAAGATTGGGAACAAAACCCTCCTCTAAAACGTTGTGTCTGAGGTCACTGTACAATAAATTTTTTTTTAACAAAAATTATAGATTGGGAATGAATAAATATGACAGTATCTATTTGTGGATGGTGTGATGTGATTGCCTATATAGGAAAGTCAAAGGATCTTAATAAAAAGGTACCAGAACTAATAAGTGGGTTTAGCAACATTAGTATGCAAAAGTGTATTTCTATGTAGTAGCAATGAACACTTAGAAACTGAAATTCTAAAATTAGCATTTATAGTAGCACCACAAAACATGAAATGTACAAAAATATGTATAAGATCTGTATGTGAAATGTAGAAAAACATTGATTTAAAAAAATCAAAGACGACCTTCAAAAATATATATTATCATATTCATGGATTGGAACATTAAATGTTATTAAGATATCATTTCTCCCCAAATTAATCTATAGATTCAAAGTAACTCCAGTCAAAATCCCAGCAGGAATTTTTGTAAAAACAAGCTGATTATAAAATTTATATGGAAAGGTACTAGAATAGCCAAACATTTTTTTAGAAAGAACAAAGTTTGGGCTTCCCTGGTGGCGCAGTGGTTGAGAGTCCGCCTGCCGATGCAGGGGACACGGGTTCGTGCCCCGGTCCCGGAAGATCCCACATGCTGCAGAGCAGCTGGGCCCGTGAGCCATGGCCGCTGAGCCTGCGCGTCCGGAGCCTGTGCTCCGCAATGGGAGAGGCCACAACAGTGAGAGGCCTGGGTACCGCAAAAAAAAAAAAAAAAAAGAACAAAGTTTGAGGATTCCTACCTGACTTCAAGACTTATATAAGGCTAATCAAGATAATGTGGTATTGATGAAAGATCCATGGATCAAGGGAACAGAATAGAGAGCCCAGAAATAGATTCATATTTATGTGGTCAATTTTTGACAAGGGATCAAAGGTAATTCACTGGAAAAGGATAGCCCTTTAACAAATGGTGCTGGGATACCATCAATATGTGAAAATATGAACTTATACCACACACCAGACTCAACTGAAAATAGATCATAACCTAAATGCAAAATCTAAAACTGCAAAATATCTACAAGAAAACATAGGAAGAAAAATCTGTGACCTTGGTTTAGACGAAACTAAGAAGTATGATCCCTAAAAGAAAAAAGTCAATAAATTAGACTTATCAAAATTAATGTCTGTTCTTCAAAACACTGAAAAAGTAAAAGCCACATTATAACCTTTAAAAATTGTGAACCACTATGTTGTACACCTGAAACTAATACTGTACATCAACTACACCTCAGTAAAAATAAAAAGCCACAGACTGGGAGAAGGTATTTGCAGGACTCATTTGATAATGCACTTGTATCCAGAATATATAACTAACATTCAATAAGAAAACAACCAACCTTCCTTAAAATATGGGGAAGAGACTTGAACAGACATTTCACCTAAGACGACTGTGAATGGCACATAAGCCTATGAAAAGATGTTCAGCATCATTAGTCATTAGAAAAATGGAACTGAAAGCCACAGTGACATATCACTGCACACCCATTAGAATGGCTAATTCAAAACAAAACCCTGACAATACCAAGAGCTAGGGAGGAAGCAGAAGAACTAGAACTTTTCATACATAACTGGTTGAAGTACTGCATGGTGGTACATCACTTTGCAAAAAAAACAGTTCAGGCAGTGTGTTATAAAGTAAAACATACACTTACCATGTGACCCACTGTATGGGTACAACACTTTTATTTACCCATTCATCAGTTGGACGTTTTTTAGCTATTATAATGCTGCTATGAAATTTGTACATTTCTCTTGGGTGTATGCCCATTAGTAGAACTGCTGGGTCACATGGCAAT